CGGTCGATCGCCGAGTAAGAGGGTGTACTGGTCTTGATTGCCATCCTGATCGCACTGCTGCAAAGGCAAGCAGAGAGGCCGAGAAGCACTCTCAGCAAGCAGAAAGGAAGAAGAAGCACCCTCACATCGCCTTCCTAAATGCATCGCTGCAATGACGGGCAAGGAGACTGAGAAGCATTCTCAGCAAGCAAGGTGGCTTGCAGGCGTCTTCAAAAATTCTCTTCCATCATCGAACTCCGTGTAAGGAGTATGGAGACGATGGAAAGAACTTTGCTAGCCAAAGAATATTTTCTATATCTCCCATACTAAATGTGACATCAAGAAAGATGGCAAATTGGGCGAATCAAATGATCCATTTCCATGGAAAACGAAGGTTTTGGGTCGATTGTCAAAATACCAAACAATGGCAGCAAATTGGTTTTGAAGAAGAAAATGGAAGTGAAAATGACAAGTGTGGAATATAAGTGCATTTATAGAGGCGTGAAGGTGAAGAGACAGAATATGAACAACCACATTCATGCCTAGTAACTAGAATCAAATGGCCCGAAATCTTGGGGAAAGAGACAGAAATACCAAGAGAAAATGTGCGTGAATCTTAGCATAGAGCAGTTAAATGTTTGGGGGGTTGACGATTAAAGACAACGTCAATAAATACACAAGAAGACAAGTTAATCGTTCATTAATGATAATGGTTGCTGGTATGTTCAAAATTCAGTACGAGGTTAACAAGGGGAAAATTAATATGAAATTACAAAAAAAAAAAGTTAAGACATTAGATGTCTTAATTACAAATCGCCCCAGACTGAACGAATCATTTCCCTAAGTCTCCCCCAATTCTCGCTCTGCTGAAAAGAAGTGACATTCAATTCAGCCACAAAATTATCATCAACCTCCAGCTTCTTGTACTGCTCGACCAAAGACTTGGTTCGCTCAATTCCTTGGGAGGCATTGCATTTTTTGGCAGCCAATCTCGCCTTGCAGTCGTCCATCTTTGCTTGAAGCTCCTTCATTTGTGCAGCCAAACTGGTCATCAAAGAATCTTCAATCATGACTTCAAAAGAAATTTCTTTCAATTCGTCCTCAATTTTGTTGATCTCCAGAAGCAAAGATTCTCTTTCAGATACAATGCGAAGATATTGAGTACTTTTGGTTTTCAGTTCAACATTTTTGGCCAGCAAGGAAAGAACCTCGGAATTGACAACTTTCAACGTCGCTTTAAAATCAGCAAAAAGATTGAGCGACGGAAGTGTCAGTGCTTGCTCCAACTTCGCACTCAAATGCTCAAGCTTATTCTTATATTTGGCAGCACTAGCCTGACCGATGTCCATATCCATAAAGGACACATACTCAAATATCGACTGCTTGAGGAACTTCATATCTTCCTCTGAAGAAGCAGAATGACGACTGGTTGAAGCAGGGCGAGACGTCTTGACTTACCCCAGGAAGTGAACAAGTCTTGGATGGAACGCACAATTTTATCAGCATCCTACAAAGAAAGTTGTCAACATTGAAGGTTTTCACTACAATGAACAAAGTGGAAGTAAAAGTGAAGCAGAGATTACCTCATCAGCAATCTTGAGAGGTGGCATATTCCCAGCCAAATCTACCACTTGTGGTTCCACCACTTGCGAGGACTTCCCCTTATCTGAGCGAGAAGACTTTGCCACAACGGGCAAACCCATGAGAGTATCTGCAGAACTCAAAAATCAACAAATCAAAAACCAATAGCACAAGCAAAGGTAAAACATCAAAAAAATGTATTACCTTTTGGTTCGACGTTTGGGGGGCTAACGCCCTGGAAAGAAGGTGACTCATCCATTGGTTGTAATGAGGATTTCAGGACTGAAGGTTTCTCTTTAAGTGTAGTCCCTTCATCAGTTGGTTTGGATGAAGCAGCCTCAGTAGAGGATGATGAAGTAGGAGCTCCCAACACCAAAGCCTTCAAAGGAGAGGCTGAGCTTTTCTGAGAAATCCGAATAAACCATCAGCACATAAAAAAGTTTCAAATATAGAAAGGTATGCTTGTGAGTAAACTAATTTAATTACCTTGCTCCTGACAATGAGAGGAGTGTCATCATCATTATCATCATCATCCTCCAAAATGGGAGATGCTGAGGCTGACCGTTTGCGTTTTAGGGCACTCTTAGCTGCAGTAGGCTTGGCAGGAAGAGAAGTAGATGGACGAACAGACTATTTAGCAAGAGCAGAAGAGGAGGGACTCCTAATGGACACAGGGGTGATCAAAACAGGAGAAGTGAAAAAAATGTCCGGCCGATCCAGTGAATGGAAAGCGCGATTGGCATCGGTTGCAAACAATCTGCGCTGCACTGATGGCCAGAGTTATTCAAAAAGGGGATGCATGGCATGGCAAGAATTGAAGGGGGCTAATGAAAAGTTACTCGTCAAAAGAATATTGCGAGCATCTATAGCTTCTGCCTCTGCCTTATTAATGGTGTGGAAGCGATCTATCAAATTTCTAGAATAACAAGGGGGAACATGTCAAGTTTGGCCAAAATCAAGTTGACGAGCAAAAAATTGGAGAGCATATATTTCAACCCCAGCTTTAGCATTGGTTCCAATCAAAATATCACGGAACAACTTCCTCCCGGTCAAAAACTGAACCCAAACGAGTAGAGAGGTGCTCGCGCTGTCCAGAGTGGATGGGGGTTGCACATAATCTGGAGTTAAAAAGGGAGGAAAATGAAAGAAAGAAGGAATTGAATTCAAAGTATAAAAGAATGAAAAAATGTCCCTTCTGGACATATTTACAGGGCTCAGTGGGCCAATAGCTAGCCCATAGCAACTAGCGGAAGGAAGGGAAAAGGATAGAGCACCAAGTGAGGGAAAATAGGCTCTCAACCACATTTGAGTGAACCAAAGAGGCCCACTGCCAGCGGGAGATGCACCATTCTTTAATTGGAATTGGAGAGAAGCCATGCCTCTATAGAGGACAGCCAAAAAGAAAGAACACAAATTCAGGGGCCTGCCACGCGCCAATTCGTGCGCTATAGGTAAATAACTCATAGAAGGCTTCATGCTTGACACACACAGAACATATTTACAAAGCCAAATCTGAATATAAGGCCACACGCTCAGTATGGAAAGGCTCAACGCTCGAGTGATTATAACAGCTTTGCAGGCTTGAATAGGACTTGGTGAGTTTTCTGTCAAATTTTGGGACGACACCAGAAATCAAAATACCAGGGAAAATGGTATCGCCCAAAGGTGGAAAATTTACTAAGGTCCCAATATCCCTTAAAGTAATGGACATGGGACCAAGAGGGAAAACAAAAGTATTATACTCAGAGGACCAAAAACTTAATGCAATAGGGAAAAGCGCTGAATAAAAAATAGGGGGTTGAAGAGAGATTTCTAACAAATCAGAAATCCCAGCACCATAAAAAATTGCCTTGGTAGGACCATGGTCTACAAGGTGAGCATGCCATCTACGGAAAACGACATCAGATTTAGGCCAAGTGCGAATACCTCTTTTGCGAAGCGGCCTCAGCGGCAAAGAGTTTAGAAACGGAGGGCCTTGAGTACAAGGGAACAGCTGGCCCACCACCACTTGTTCGACGGCCTCGGCGTTGTTGAATGAAGGACCTAGCTAGAACTCATTGAGTTCGACATTGGTTGGTGCGATATGGCTGAGTGAGGATCTTCTGGAAGTTTTCAAAACTGAAAGAGTCGCTAGATTGGGATTGTGAAGCAGCCATTAGGAACGAAATAAAGTTTTGTTGAGGTTTGCTTGATAAACGTAGCAGAGAAGCAAGAAGATAAACAATAATATTGCAAGAGAGAAGCGCAGAACAATTAGGCGTGATTTAGTAGTGCGATAAAATGGTGTGTATTTGTGGGTTATAAGAGTTTGCAACGTCGCACCTTTTCAGGCTATGCAAGAAAATAATGATTGAAATTCTTGGGAATTTCAAATGTTGTTGGGAAACACAAAGTGAATATGGCAAAAATTAATAATTGGTATTAATTCTGCCATATTGGGGGTAATTGTTGACACGCTAAAAGTGCAGCCCAATTCGAATAACCCAAAGAATGAAACCCAACTGGGCAATTCAGGAGAAAGCCCAAATAGGGTTATTAATGAATGCAGTGAAAGCCCATGAACGCGGTAACACCGTCGCCCAAACTTACAAAGCGCCCAAGATCTGAGCGAATGAAGTGCCTTGCAGTCGCCCAGAGTTATAACCCCGTTCTCGCCCAAACTTTCGAATTGCCCAGGATCTTAGCAAACATAAGGTGTTATGGTTATCCAAAGTACAGTTATCTAAGCAGTTATTGGGTAATCTTATCACGTTCTACGATTCAAGAAGTTCAATTGAAGTTGGTTGAACGACAAAGAGTAGTGACAGCATTTAAAGGCGGCAGTTTCACGATAAGTTGGCCACCATGAAGAAAGTGGGCAGTTATAAAACAATGTAGTAGTTTCTAAGCGGTTGATCACAAAGAGAGCATTAAGAGAATATAAAATGGAGAAAATACATAGAGCAAAAGAGACTAAATCAAATACTCTCAAACAGAGAATATGTAATTTCAATTTCTTAGTTTAAATTTAAACATTTCTTTTAGTACTCGTGTGCTTGCGCCCCTTGGAGTTATTCTGTTTAAGTTCCAATTGCAAAGTCATTGTCAATAAAACACCCATTTTTTGGGATTTTGTCTCAAGAGATTTGTTCCTTACACAATCGTCTGATCTCTTTTTTAATTATTAGTGACTACCCGCGCGAAACATCTCCAACGAGCTTTATCTCGTAAAGTCGAAGGCGTTCAAGACAAATTCAAATTGTTGGGAAGATGATATGATTGATTGAACCTAGCTAAATCCAGGTCAAGGTCTAAAAGACCCGTGAGGGTATATTCTTTTCTTAATGAGAACTCCCTCCCAATTCCCATTTGTTCCCCTTCATACACAAATCATATTCCTTTCTCCAACGTATAGAATTCTTTTCCAGTTTTCCTTTCCCATCATTAGAGGGTAAATTTCACTCAACTTAGCAAATTTTTAATCATGCCACTAAACTCTAAAAAGGCAATTAAATAACTGAAATTTAGTTCTAGATTTAAATTTCACAGCACTGTCACCTTGCAAATTCATGAAAATTGCTTAATTGATAACCATATTGCAATAAATCTTTCACTTAATATTTCTCTAACATGCGAATTTTCATTGTTTACGCAATAAAAATATTAAAATTAAAATATGCATTTTTATCATTTTAATCAATAATCATCACCAAACTTTCATTTCACTCATTAGGTTTCTTGTAGCGATTATGTGAACTTCAAATACGATGACTATCGAGTAACATTAAGCAAAGTTTTATTAGGTTGGAGGACAATAAATGATAGAATGTGTTAAGAGTGGTAAAATTTGAAACCCCATTGAAATTTAATATTCGATAGATTCCAACCTATTATATTTTAATTTTCAATATTATAAATCACTTGAGGAGTGAGCTAGAGGTGTAGGTGGCTTGATTTGACTCATTTTTGATAGATTTTCAAACTATATTGTTTCAAAAGATTTGAGAAAAATTCAAACAAAAATCAAATCATTTAAAATGATTTGAGATCTTCTCAAACTTAAATCTAATGGTTAAGTTTTAAATCGTGATTTGTTTGTATAATTTTTTTTGTTCACTTTATTGTCACATTTAAATACAAAAAAATATTTTCATACTTTTTTTTTTTTGGAAAAAAAAAAACTATATTTCTAAAACCATACATTTAAATACCATCAAAATCAAAGAAATTTTTGTGTAAAGTTTTTAATAATTTTATATATGATTTTGAAGGTTAAAGTTGTAATTTAGCCCCTGTTTGACGCCTATTAATTTTCATTCTATCATATTTCATTTTTCTTTCTCCTATTTTTAATCACACAATTTTCTATAAAATAATATTACACATAAATCAAAATTTTTTCATAACTTATTTTTTAAAAAAATATTATTTTATTCATTTTCATTTTCACAAAATGGGGCCAAACGGGATGTTAACAATCTAATTTAGCCCCCGTTTGGCCCCCATTTTTGGTAATGAAAATGGGGGGAATAGTGTTTTGTTGAAAAAATGAGTGGTTGGAAAAGAAGGAAATTTTTTTTATTTATATATAATATTATTTTATGGAAGATTGTGTGGTTGAAAATAGGAAAGAGAAAAATAGAATGTAATGAAACTTAATTTTAATATGATCAAACAGGGGCTTATTGTAAATTTACTTTTTTATTTCCAGTTTGACTGTTAGTCTTACTCGCGATAAAGCTTCTCTTTTACATTGCCCTTTCCCCTGCGCAAATCTCATATATAAATCTATATTCATTAGCATTGCACCCGCATTTCTTACTTTGTGATTCTGGAAACCCTAGTTATTTTTCTGCTCTCTTTCTTTTTCTAACCTAGATCGAAATCAGTCGATTTTAGCTGCAGAATCTGTGATCAGTGAAAGGGATAAATGGATGAAGAGTACGATGTGATAGTGCTCGGGACCGGTCTCAAGGAGTGTATTCTCAGCGGTCTCCTCTCTGTTGATGGTCTTAAGGTTAATTTCTTTATTTTTGTTTTTGTTTTCGTTTTTTTTTTGTTTTTTGAGAAATCAAATGTTCGGAGATCATTTTGATGATTGTAATTATGCTTTATTTGTTTATTTATTTATGCTCGGATTATTGGGTAACATGGAGAAAATTATTCGATATGTCTGATTTAGATTTCGTTATTTCGAGATCGGACTTGTATTGATGTCAGCTGGATTTTTGATCTGTTTGGTCTTGAGTGCTTGCAGTTAATTAATTTAAAGATTTGCTGAAAGGATATTGTAATTGGATTTTGCTACTTGGACATAACCTGTTACCGAAAATGACATGGAGGGAAAAGATTGGATGAAAAAGTTGATTGTGTTTTAAACCGACAAATGTTAGAGCGTTATGTGGCATTATATAAACCTTATGTATGTCTTGATGTATATGTAGCAAAATCCATTGTAATTCTACGTTCTAAAGTTGATATGAATCAATTAGGTCCCACCCGACAACTATTCATTGTCATTTATTAGTGATTCGTATTTTACATTAATTGGAATGATTTTATCGATGATGATATAATCAAGTAATATTCAAGGAAATAGGTATAATTTTCTTTGGGTATTTTCAATCCACCAGGTTGAGTTCAATATCCTGGCGATTAGTTAGAATATGGTAATGATCACTTCAAGTTGAGATAAAATTTATGATTAATGATATGGGACAGGATCTGTTGTGACTTATACTAAATTGCATGTGTAATATAAATTAAGTGCACATCTTTTGTTATTTGACATGGATGTTATTTGCCTTTGAAATGTGACCATTCGATTAAGAATTTTAGTATGTACGTGCATGTTAAGTAATGGATTTTTCATGTATATATATATATATATATATACACTCATTTAGCTGTATAATATTTTGTAAACACTTGGAAATAGACACTCTGAGCTTGGCTTTATTTTTAATTGCCTTGGCTTCTTGTAAACCTAAGAATGCTCAGTAAAGTAAGAGAAGATGTAAATGAGTTTTGATATAAATTTTGTGAAGTCCATTTGGGATATAATCCTTGTGTTTTGATTTGATATATTTTTGTTTATCTTTTACTTCTTTTTTGATTCTGGATCTCATTATTTCAAGTTTTCTACGGTGCTTAGACCAAATTTGAGCCTTGTAAGTTACATAAGGTGATGTTATAGGAATGAGGTTGTAGAATAGCTGAGGTGATATTTCCATATGCTACACTTTGCCCGTATTGACCTATGTTTTTTTTTTTTTTTTTTTTTTTTTTTTCTAT